CTTTCTTTCTTTCTTTCTTTCTTTCTTTCTTTCTTTCTTTCTTTCTTTCTTTCTTTCTTTCTTTCTTTCTTTCTTTTCGCACAGTCAAGAACTTGCCGAACTATCAGGCGTTTGCTGGGGATCACCTCGGTCCGATCGTTTGCAGAACCCGCAATAATTATTCTTTTCCGATAAATAAAAACTTGTTTCTTTTAGTGGAATTCCCCTGAAAGCACGGCGCTCTCCTCTATTCTCCTCTGCAATTAGAGTTTGGTTGTGCGCAGTTTGCCAAAAGTCCTGTGTGCGGTCTAGGGGCCTCCTGAAGCACCGCGCCGCGCCGTAATTTGCGCCCCGAAGTGCGGCACTCCGCTATAATTTGGCCGCATCGAGGTGTAGGCCTAGCCGAGGCCTAGCCTAGCGTGGCGCCGCGGCCTCCTAGAGCGCCTGGAGCGGCCCCCGCCCGCCTGCAGGCGCGGCCGCCACCCAGAGCTAGGAACGGCTTAGGACGAGCTCCTTAGGCGATGCACCCGAGTGGCGTGGCGCAGCGCAGCTCGGCTCGTGGCCATGGACTCAGCCCGGGCCGGGAGGAGCAGAGCGGCACGCCGCGGAGACGACTACTTTCTTCAAGGACAGGGCTCTATAAAAATCGTGGCTATGATGGCAAGGGACAAAAAGACAACTACGACGGCATGCGTGTTGTCATCGTCGTCGAACTGTATCGTGACTGTGTAGCGGTGTGGTGGGGGCATCGTGGGACAGGTGCGTAGTGGGACAAGGACGGTGGCGGCGCTAAGCCTCGCGGCTGACCGCTGAGCGAGCGGCTCTGCTGCTGCAGCTGGGCGCCAGCCAGCCGTCGTACAGCAAGAATAAATGCAGACTACCATTCGAAATAGTTTCGTACTTTTATCCGCAAATGGATCATCCAGAAAGTACGCTCGTCATGCGCCGTTACGAAGCTGCCCAAGTCCAGCCTCAGCTCAAGCTCTCATAGCGCCTGATGGGTCGGCAATATCTGGAGACGGGATGCATGCGTGTATTGCGGGGTGGCCCACCCCGAGTCTCGCAGGCGTCGAGCCCCCCGTAATTTGCCGAATGGATCTGAGCAAAATAGAAATGGTCGTACTTTCTGCACGATCCCTCCCTAACCTCTTCGATAACACCCCTTTGCCTTCCCGAAGACGCTGGCGCTGGCGTGACGGCCGTGACGGTCACAAAAGCGGCCCCGCACACCTCCCGGTGTGGCCGCGTCACCGTCACTCGATAGGAAAGGCCTTGGCGACGGCGACGGCCCTGGACGGACAGCAGCAGGACGGCGCTGGCCGCTCTTATTCCGCACCGCAGGGCGCGTCTACAAAGGGAACGAAACGAAAACACGGCAAAAGCCATGGCAAAGCCGCGACGCGTTGCGGCGTCGCCGAGTTCCTGGAGCTGACAAACTTGCTGTGTGTGACGGGGCGGCCCAGCCGAAGCCGAGGCTCGTGTGAGGGATCGTCCAGAAAGTACGTCGACCTCGACGTCGACTTTTCTCAGACAGATTGATTTTTGGTAGAAAAATTCCGGCAGCTCGGCGCCTGCGAGTCTCGGGGTAGGCCACCCCGCAATACACGCATGCGGCGCAGACATGATGTTGCCTACCCTCCAGGCGTCATGAGAGCTCGCACAGGCTGAGCGAGATTGTTGCGTAACGGCGAATGACGGACGCTCTTTCTAGATGAACCCTGAGACACCATGATTGGATTGGTGTGGTGGTGGGCTGGTCTAGCCGCCCCTCGTGAGGCGCTGAGGTTGGCCACCCGCTGCGCCCCGAGTAAATACATCTGCGCCCTATCCTAGCGCTCTGCCCTGCGTGGTCGGCGGGGGCGAGGTCATTGAGCCGTGCCGAGCTTGCTTCTGCTGCTGCAGTTGCGGCAGACAATGGCAAAACAAACGACAGCATCACCGGCAGCTCCGCTGAGTTGGCTGAGCGGTTGGGCGGGGCGCGCGGGGGCGGGGCGCCTGCTGGGCGCCACCGGAGCTCACCGCTTTCCTCCTCCGATAAGATGATGATCGCATCGCATCTCTCTCCGCCCGGCTGCTTAGCTAACACCTTGGCGTCACAAAAGAGCGTCGCGTCGCCCTGTCGGGCAGCCTGTTACAAGGCGTGGGGACAGGAGAACTACCCGGGGCATCGTCGAGGTGCAAACGGGACGTTGTGCTGACTCCAAAGAGAAATTTCCAAGTCAGTTTGACCTCAGTTTAACTCTACCCACCGCTCATGTGCATGTCCACCACCCGATCAACTTGTGCTTGACCGTTAACATTAACGTGTTTTTCTTGTTACCCTCAGGCGTACCAGCGACCCAAGTCCACCGTCGTGCAGGTGGCCAGGATCGCCGCGGTCACCGTGGTGCTCACCTCCTTCATCCTCGGCGGCTTCATCTTCGCCGCCGCCTGGGTGCAAGCCAACTCGGCCTGCCAGGATGCCCTGAACGAGCAGCTCGCGCGCATGGTAAGCTTGGGAGAGGTCAGGGCGGCCGCGCCCGCCTAGGCCGGG